ATTTGCCGCCGGTAGTTTGCCGGTCGGCTGTCTTCTGCACCTTGGATGCAGACTCTTGTTGGGTCGGCGGAGGCCTGACCTGTTTTTGAAGGGACCGGGGCATCTGCTTCCCGTCCTGTAAACGAGAAAAATATAAGTTATGGGATAAAAGGATTGAAATAAACGAGAAGGATCAGACGGTTATACCTTCTTCGCCGCCTGGGCAGCAAGTTTTTTCTCGAGATTGGCTTTCCGGATGTCGGCAGCCGACCTAGCCGGTGTCTTCTCGGTGGGCAGCATTTTCTTGGCTTCTTCTGCAGAGGAAGGCACACGGTTAGAATAATAAATAAGCAAGGAAATAAAAGCATCCGGTTCGAAAGAAACCGGCTGAGTTTCGAATACATACGTTTTTTAAACATGCTGCTTAGACCACAAGCGGACAAGAAGCATTCGTCCCTAAAAAAATCATGTTTGGGCACCCAGTTTCTAGGTACCCTTACTATCTCTCCGGATGAGAGGGTGTCAGGAACTAACTCAAAAAACCCGGAGTCAAGGATGGTCTCTCTATCATCCTCCGGGACAGGGGGCAGGCAGCACTTGGTCCCCAAGAGTTCTGGTTTCCGGTTGTAGATCCGGAATTCTCTGTTCTCTGCCGTAGTTGGGGCCTTAACCAAGTAGAACCGGTGCTTCCAGTCCGACCATTTGGATGGCTTGTCCAAGGTCATAAGGTATTTGGGCTGGGTGGTCAAGGTATACCAGGCTCTCCAGCCGCCTGGGCTCCTACTCAAGTAATGCATGTGGGCAAACGCCTCCCAGCCGGGGTTGAGGCCCTGCATCTCGCAGGCGGCGATATACCCTAAAATATTTACCCATGAGTTGGGGGTTAATTGCCAGAGACCTAGGCCATACCCCCTAAGTATGGCTTTTATTGTGTCGTGGAGAGGGAAGCGGACTCCGGCCACGAAGGCCGCCTCGTAGCACCCGAACCAAGCGTTCGCGTTCGGTTGTCCATCCTCCCACCATATTGTTCCCAGAGCAGCCGGGATTTTTATTGAATAGTCACCCCCCAGCGGCCGCCGTTTGATAAAATCTGGCAGCGCAGCCCGCATGAGCTCGCGGTCCTTAGAGGAGACGGCGATCATGAGAGGATCGTTCCTATTGTCCCAAGAAGGCCTCTCCGCCTCCTCGCTATCCTCAGATTCGGTTAAGTAGCTGCTACTGCTACTTTGAACGTGACCGGCATCAGAGCCGGCTGGGGAGTTGGAGACCTCCTCATCAGAGCCTACCTGCTCTCTGGTCTCCTGGAGGGGAGCACTCTCTTCGTTTAAAATGCTATCACCCGGGGTGCTAGGAGCGCCCCCGGGTGAGCCTCTCTGCTCTACCTCTCCTTGCTCTACTTCACCGCCTGAAGCTGGGACCTCAGGCGGCTGCTCATCTGAGCTCCCACTTCTGTAGTTGGGATCTCTGGCAGTAGACCGGATTCTGGCCATTGTGTCCTGCACAGACACAGAGTCGGTCGATATGGGTGTTGAAAAAGGGTTGTCCCAAAGAACAGAGGCGGCAAACCCAGTTCTAGACTCAGCCGTACTAATAAACCGGCTGAGTTCACAGCTAGGTTCCGGGTATGGGTATAAGGGGTCCATCTACTTATGGGACCAATGAACAAAAATGCGAGTAAAAGACTCAAACGGAAATACATGAAAAAGCTAGAAAGAATAGAGACGGTACCTAGAAGAAAATCTGGAAATTCTTTGGGATGCTTGCGAAGACGCAGGCGGTTCAAAATCCGGCTGGGTTTCTCTGATTACCCTCTCGAAAACCTCTGGCTAGCTTGCAACGACCCAGACGGTCTGTAGACCGGTTGCTCCCAACGAATCTCAACTCCGAATGCTCTCAACTCTCAAATTGCCGGCTGCTCTCAAATTTTCAGAAATTTGGCAAAGTTTGTAAATGAGAGCTCGGGGGACATCTTCTCCTATTTATAGAATTTGTCCCAGAAGGTGAAAAGTCGTGACTCTTCGCCTTCTGCTTTTCCATCCTTCAAAAAAAAAAAAAAAAAAAAAAAACCAACCTTTCACCGGCGCCACGTGGCACCCTGCCACGTCAGCACCAGTGAGGGGCAAATGTTTGGGGTAAAAATACCCTAAACACGTGGCCCAATGGCCTAGTGACACGTGGCATCCGGCCGTTGGTCAGCAGTGCTCCAATCCTCTGCTGACACGTGTCCTCTAAACCCTAAAAGGGAAACCATCCCTTCCCCACTATAAATAGTGGAAGGACCCTCATTAATGGGGGGCTGGAACATTTGTTGTTCTCATTGAATACTCCTCAAAAAGAAAAACACTTACCCCGAGCAATATTAATTGCAGAATTCTCCCATTACGCGAGAAGTAACTTCCACATTACGTGCATTCTACCTCCCGTATCTTTACTAACTTGATCGTCGGAGGCGGAGCTCCTACCCCCAGGAGTCTTCGTGATTTTACAGGCACAGGCGTCGAAGGGCATTCTTGGAATTGTAACTCTCCCGCAGGACACATCAAAAAACCCCGAAACAACCTTTATTACAATGAGATACCTAAAAGAAAATTTATACTCAAAATATACTAAGTAACAACTAATTTATCTTAAAGCATGCTGAGATAAATTCAACAATATCTTACATTTAATGAATTATTCTGAACGAAACAGATAAAAAGAAGCAGAGGTTGTACTTTTTAACTATGCATGTGCACATACCTTTATTGTTATGGGCTACAGGCCTACAAATGGGCAATAATACTTCAAACAAAGAAGAACCTTATCTTTGTAAAGTAGAATGAATAATGATGTACGGACTATACAAGTTTTTGCTACAACCATGTTAAGTTAAATCACTGAGAAAATAACTATAGAATTACACAATTATACATTGCAAATTTGCAACCTTGTGCCTTCATCTAACCAATTATTAGCTGCCCTGGATGACTCCATATATAGTTGGTAGATTATTGTCGGTCTTTTAAATTGATATTCTGTAAAATAATTAATTAAGGTATTATTTATATTTGGGTGGCCAACATTAGTTAGGATTCGAGATAAAAAAAAAAAAGTTATAAAATTTTGTTGTTTATTAGTTGAGACATAATTTCAAATCCAAAGTTAATCTTACTTAGAGACAATTTTGATTAAGTGAAATATCACATCATCAGTTTTTGTCCACTTTTACAACTTCAATTGATAAAATTGCAGTTATTAAAAAATGATAAAAATTGTAGGTAAAGAATGCAAATATGACAATTTTATTAGGGTCAAATAGTTATTTTTATAAAATATAAATTTTGATAAGTTAAGCTTATTAAGTCAAAATAAATATGGACAAGTACTATTAAGGAGTGCAAGTTTAAAAAATTACAATAAAAAGGACATTTTGTGAGAAACTATCTTTTAAAGTAATTTTTTTGCGAGAAACTACCTTATAAAAAAAAGGTTGTAACAAACTACCTTATAAAAGCTAAATGTTGTAAGATACTACCCCTTGGTCGGAAAGTGAGAGTTGACTAAATTTTTCCGGCGTTGACCAAGTCATGTGCCGGTCACATGACATTTAATTCATCTTGGGTATTATATGGATAGGCTCGGGGAAAATTAGGGAAAAATGGGGAAAGATGAATTAAACGTCACGTGACCGGCACATGATTAGGTCAGCGCCGGAAAAATTAAGTCAACTCTCACTTTCCGACCAAGGGTAGTATCTTACAACATTTAGCTTTTATAAGGTAGTTTTTTACAACATTTTTTTTATAAGGTAGTTTCTCGCAAAAAAAATGCTTTAAAAGGTAGTTTCTCACAAAATGTCCCAATAAAAATAATAAGTTTGAATAATTTTACGTAGTTTAGTTACAAAATGTTTGCTAAGCTCATATTTATAAGTCATGATAAGTGAAAAATCAAATCGATAAAGCATACACTGATATACAAGTATATAAGACCAAATTTGATTTCTAACAACTCAAGAAGTCAAAGTTCAAGTATAGCACGACCTTGGTCTACAATTATTCCATAATTTATAAACCTAAACTTCTCTTTTGGGTACCCTTTTAGCCTGGTCATAGTTAGCCAATAATTTTGGTACCACGTGTCATGTTTGTAATGAATCAGGTTAAACACCTAAGCCAATCACAGTCTAACACATAACTAGAATCTACCACTTTAGGATATTCCAATTCATTCATGATATCATGCATGAACCTATGCGATATGCAGCCAAGAACCTTCCATGTCCATGCACCATAATCCTATTAATTAATAATTAAGAAACATAACTAACTCAGTCCCTCCTTCCCAGGCCATATACGTGATACACTTGACTAATTCTTTATATGCTCACTTCATATGCTAGTAAACAAACTAATTAATTTAATAACAATGACTCTGGACATACTTTACATGCAATTACTTATTAAGTGTTTGTTTTGTTGATAGGATATTAAGAAAATCAAGAACAGTTAAAATTAATTGTATATTAGAATTCTAATGAAGTGGAAAATTTTGATAGCTTGAGGAAACTAGCTAGGAATTTCTTTTTGATAAACCCGATCCAATTCTATAACTTATGAGCAACCATACCATAGCCCTTGATAAGTTGGTATAATATTGTTTTAGAACTACAACCTCAATTGTCTCTTAGTACTTACCATTTAGAATATGTGAAATAATACTTATTTAAAATCATTACTATTACAATTCCATGCATGCATCACACAAGTTCTAAAAATTAGCTCTTCTAAATTACAAGTGCTAAGGTCCTGTTCTGATTTACTGAAAACAACTTAACTTAACTGAACAAAACTGAACTGAATAAATTAAAGCTAAAATAACTTATTTTTGAGAGAAGACAATTAGAAACTGAACTGACATTAAGCTCAACAGAACAGGCCATAAATATATATAGCTAGACATCGGTAACTTTGTAATAATACTAACAATATGCTGCAAGTAGCAATACCTACCTATAATTAAAAAACATGAGTATGACTAGTTGACAGCCTTTATGAATTTATGATAAGAAGATCTAACTCCATTCTCTAGGTAAAAAATGACCAATACCAAAAGTTATATATCGTGATCTCAATACTGAAAAAGGGGAAAAAAAAAAAAGGTTAACAATCGGAAAAGCGGTTCTTCTCCATTATACTGTACAAATAATACAACATCTATCATCGAGCATGAATACCAGCCACGTGTCCAGCTGACGCATACTCACTAGTGGGTCCCATTGCGCACTCTCCTTAACCCTACTTAGTAGTTAGTACACCATTACCAAATACAATGCCTAAATCACAATAATCTATCTCTTCATCTATATAAACCCTTCATTTTACATCATTACCTTCATCTCAACCCTCTCATCCTCCAAAATCTCCTACAACATTCATACACTTACTATTTATACATTATTCTCCACCTTAGTATAACTTGGACCGACCATAATATAATATTTATACATATCCTGTGTTTCTATTTGTAATACCAAATCAGCAGTGTTACTGATATCTTATGGGGACGGTTCAAGAGGATCAGTATGTGTATTCTAACGTGAATAGGGAGCAATGTAAGAGCCGAGTGGCGGTGCCACCACCTCAACCATTCTTCAAGTCCCTACAAGGCTCATTGAAAGAGACATTCTTCCCCGACGACCCCTTGAGGCAGTTCAAAAACCAGCCGAGGTCTAGGAAGTTCATAGTAGGGTTGCAATACTTCTTTCCCTTCCTCGAGTGGATGCCAAAGTATACGTTGGACTTCTTGAAGTCGGACCTCGTTGCCGGGATCACCATTGCTAGCCTTGCTATCCCCCAAGGGATCAGCTATGCTAAGCTTGCCAACTTGCCCCCAATTCTTGGACTATGTAAGTTGTAGTATAGTAAAATAATACTCATGTTGATATTTTTAATTATTTATCTTAATGTTCTACTTTATGAAACTATATTTATTTTGGATGTTAATATCTTAAATCTGATTCCAAACAAAGCTATCTATACATTTGATGATTTAAGTGTATCTAATTATCTTCATGCACTAAAGTGAAAGATATTAATTAATCAATTGCAAGTAATCTTTTTAATTAAGGGGCTAATTAGTGATCTAATGACAGCTACGTTTTATCATATATTAAAAAAAAAAGCAACGTTTAGTGCAAAATTAGAGTTTTAATGACAAATAGGAGTGTGTTTTTTTTAATTAAAATATGGAAAATTCTATACATAGCCCTTAGGGCTACATATAAGCATTAAATTTGCACTTGAAAATCGTAAAAAGTTAAGAAATCATAAAAATATAAACACTAATTACACTGATTTATGCGTGTTTTTGTCATGAATTCCTAATTTTATACAATTTTCAAGTGTGTATTTAATGCTTATATATATCCCTTAGGAGTATTAATGACAAATAGGAGTGAATGTAATAATGTGGAGTGTATGACTTGTTAATTAGTGCGGACTAGTATTATTATAAATACATACTTCGTAATAATTTAGGCATATTTATATACTATATACGTGGTATATGCACACTTTCTTATAGTAGGAAAGCCTAACACGGTTATAATGTTATCTTTAATCTTATTAATCAATGATACAAGACATCTTATATGGGTTATAAGTATATTGATTTACCCTACAACTAACTAAATGTTCAGTTATTGCTAATTACGGGTGGAACTAATTAATTAACATAATGGTACATAATGTTACACGGTGCGATCCGAGTGAATGATTAAATCAATGGACATGTCATTCGATTAACATACAACATTAAAATAAACTTTATTTTTAATACACGTAGTATATAATTTTTTTTTTTTTTTGAAAATGTCATATATATTATCTAACATTAAGCATATTTTGTGGATTTATGATCAGACTCTAGCTTTGTTCCACCTTTGGTCTATGCCATGATGGGAACTTCTAAAGATGTGGCGGTAGGAACCATCGCGGTGGGGTCGCTTTTGACCGGAGCTATGCTAAGCACCGTTGTTGATCCGAACCAGAATCCGAAGCTATTCCTTCACCTTGCTTTTACTGCTACCCTTGTTGCTGGAATTTTTGAAGCCACTTTAGGCCTACTAAGGTCGGTATAGTAAATTTCTTTTATTGTTCTTATTACTTTTAACGTTTAATTACCAATAGTATGGATAAACATGATTAACTTTTTTTTTTTAACACATCTTCTACTAGTTTATATAATATTTAGGAAGTATATATAATAATAGTTGCACAACTTGCACTATCTATATTTACGCGCTCAATTTTAATTTTTAATAAGGGTAATATATAATAAATCATTCATGAATTACTTTGATTATGTAATTAAATAAATACGTTAAAAATGTATATGTGACTATTATTTTACATGTGAATGGTACGTACGGAGAAATATCTTGAGAGGCAAGTGGCCATATCTAAGAGATTCATCTTTTTTCATACAACTTTCTCCATATATTTAGATTGTGATTGGTCAGAAAATAGTGGGAAATATGCCAGTAAGATCGCTGTTTGGGTAAGGTTCAATTCACCATATCGAAGCATATGCTATCAAAATTTCCAATGATACAATTTCCAATATTTGTGCCTTTTTTTCTATACCAAGGAATAAAATTATTTTCACTCACAAACACAATAGGTCATGCATTATTAGACAAAAAAAAGGGTTTCAGAGATATCACTTTTTTTAAAATTATTGTTGGAATTTTCTTACACTTTTTGATCTTAAACTTTATTTTTTCAATGCAGTTTTAACATGAAAAAAGATAAGAATATTGATTTTCCCATATGGAGATATTGTTTGTCTCCTTGGATATGAATTTGCTAAGGTAGGCCAATTGTCATTCACTATAAAAGTGTACAATTATAAAGGGTTTTGCTTATAAGATATATGAGTTGAGCTGAGCTGAGTACTTGTTTATCTCTAAAATCATTTTGATAATATTATCAACTTTGTAATATATATGATATACGAGTATATATATATATATTTTTTGATAATACAATATAGTTTGACCTAAAATGACTAATGGGCAAACAAGAAATTTAATATGCAGATGTTAATATACTAAAGTTGGTATTATGTTAATATTTGTATTATTTTGATTATAAGTCTAAAATAGATAATTAATTGATGGATTAATAATGATGAGAATAATAATAATGCAGGCTAGGTTTCATAGTGGATTTCTTATCACATGCAACAATTGTGGGATTCATGGGAGGAGCAGCAACAGTGGTGTGTTTGCAACAACTCAAAGGAATACTTGGACTCACTCATTTTACTAAATCTACAGATATCATTGATGTTATGCATTCTGTCTTTTCCCAAGAACACCAGGTACTATAATTGTTTATTTTAATTACTAATTATGTACAAAGTATAATTAAACCACCCACTTGCTTTTTAATACAGTACATAACTATTTTATATAGTATTCCATTATCTTAATTATTGATCTTTTGATTAATTGTACATTTCATAATGTTAAATGTTGAGTATTTAATTGATTGTTAATTTTTGAATTGTGCAGTGGAGATGGGAAAGTGCAGTACTAGGATGTGGTTTCCTCTTTTTCCTTCTTCTCACTAAATACTTTGTAAGTTTAACCTATTTTCTTAATACTTTGTATGCACAAGAGTTAAAAAATGAAGAACTAAAGTCAAAAAGTGGGGTTGTAAGTGAAAAAAATAAGTATACCTTGTATTAGTGTAAAAAAAGTTGTACTCACGAAAAAAGAATAATAAACGAGAAAAAGGAATAGATGTAGGATTACTGGATTAGTCATAGAGAAAATGTCTATATTTACGCGATTTTTGTGACTTTCCTTTCCGGTTACTAATTACGTGCTGTTTTTGGTATTTAAAATGTAGAGCAAGAGAAAGCCAATATTCTTTTGGATATCAGTGATGTCTCCTTTGATCTCAATTATATTGGGAAGCCTACTTGTCTATCTCACCCATGCTGAAAATCATGGTGTTCAAGTGGTAAGTCTCGGCAACGTCTTATCTCAATATTCTACACTTTTGATATTTTGTATATGACTTACATATGTTTCTTAATTGATTGCCACTTCTTCTTATATTACATTTTAGAGATAATCAAACCTTTAAAGTGAAAGCACTTAACACATACATGTACCTTGACAAATAAATACATTAGATCAACACAACATTTAAACTTGGAAAATGACCTCCTTGATCATCAATATAAAATCCATAAATATTATGGAATATAGTGAAAGTTACATCAATACAAGGCAAAAACACAACTTTATTTAAGGTATGCATATGATTAACAAGTTTCTTGGTATATTTAAGAAAATAAATTTGACTGTGAGAGTTCAGGACAACTCAAGTGGTTAGGACTTCTCTCTCGATTCTAAAAGATTCTGAAATCGATTCTCATCCCTGCCCTTGTGGCTCTCTTAAAAAAAATTATCAATTAATTTAGTTGGTTAATGTCTTGAATCTTGAGGATTTAGATCAAATTCCGTGTATATCATCTGCTCTTATGTCGTTTTGGAAGTGGGTCAAAATGAGATCTACAAAATGTAATATCCAGTAATAGTGGTAACCTTGGACCACAGTCCACAACATAAGTAGTGAGTTCCATAAGTATAATCAGAACAGAACTCTGAAGACGAATATTGGTCTGTGCCACTAAATCCATACCCACTATACCTTTTGTATCTTTGACGTATTACTAAAGTATGGCCCACCACTTATATATTGTTGGGCCCTCAAGCTATTCAATTAAAGGCTGTTTGCCATGAGGAAGTCTTTGGGCTGGCCCATCATATCATAATTGGTTGTGTGAAGATTCCTATATATGGCAGAATCTTCCTTTTTCTTTAGGGGTGTAATTATGCACATACATGTTCGGGACAGCCCCACTAAATGACTAAACCATTGTACTTGTATCACTTGTACACTTCCTAAATATTTAGGGGTGCATAATGGCATATAATCAACAATGTACTCGTGGACGAGATTTGATCCAATATTTTGGTTACTTACCTTTTAATATTTTAACCAACTAAGCTAGTTGACATTCACATATCAGTGAATTGAATATGTTATAATAAGTAACTTCTATAAAGATAAGATTTGATCGAGAAGTTTCAGTTTTATAAATATATATGAGCAAATGAATTAATAGAGTTTTCATTTTTGATGGATATGCAGATTGGGTTCTTGAAGAAGGGCATTAATCCACCTTCATTTGGAGACTTTGTATTGTACTCTCCTTACTTTCCGGTGGCTCTCAAAACTGGCATTGTTACCGGTATCATTGCTATGGCGGTGAGTTGCTATACCTTTGCCTTAAACTTCTTACTAATCACGTATACTGGAAAATTTCTTATACAACTGTTGCACCACATCAACAATATAACCTGACCTCTTTATGACCTTGGAATATTTGGGGTTGTAACATTTCTTATACAACTGTTGCACCACATGAACAAAACTTATTTACCAACAATAATTCAAGTACCTTAATTACTTACTATCACATGATGTAATCAATTACAGGAAGGAATTGCTGTGGCAAGAAGCTTTGCTATGTTCAAAAACTACAACATTGATGGAAACAAAGAAATGGTTGCCTTGGGAGTTATGAACATAATTGGCTCTTGCACTTCTTGTTATCTTACCTCAGGTACGTACATTATTTAATTTAATTTAACATATGATAATTAACTAATTAATAAAAACAAGTGAATTTCTACTAGAATTATTTTTTCAAATGATTTAATTTCTAGTTATACTAATCTAAAAGTCTTAAATAAATCACTTGCTTTAGGTCCATTTTCGCGGTCAGCTGTGAATTACAACGCCGGGTGCAAAACAGCATTTTCAAACATAATAATGTCAACTGCTGTGATGATCACACTTCTATTCCTCACACCATTGTTCTACTACACCCCTCTTGTGGTCCTCTCATCCATCATCATGTCTGCTATGCTCGGCCTTATAGACTATGATGCCGCGATTCATCTTTGGAAAACAGATAAATTTGATTTTGTTGTTTGCATAAGTGCCTACATTGGCGTGGTTTTTGGCAGCGTTGAAATTGGCCTAGTGATCGCGGTAAGTATTAGTTACCAGAAAATATAAATTCAAATAAGGGCTAATAAGTTCCAATCCGGACAAACTAGTTATTAATTGACATTATTATTCGAAATAATGTAGGTTGCATTGTCCGTGTTGAGGGTGTTGCTATTCGTGGCTAGACCAAGGACCACGGTCCTGGGTAATGTGCCGAATTCGATTTGCTATAGGAGTGTTGATCAATACCCAGAAGCTCAAACTGTGCCCGGAATTCTCATACTTGAAATTGGTGCTCCTATATATTTTGCCAATTCTACCTACTTAAGAGAAAGGTAATTTAAAAGAATAGTTCTTTATGTTTATTTTATATATAATGAAAAGCATATATTGTTTTTGGAATTTAGATTGTTATATAAATGATTGTGTGTTTGTTCTTAGGATTTCGAGGTGGATCGATGATGAGGAAGAGAGGTTGAAGTTATCTGGAGAGTCTAGTTTACGTTATGTCATCTTGGATATGAGAGGTATGTTATACTATAGAAGTAAAAATAGCAATTAGATCAATAACCAATGTTTTTGTTTGTCTAGCTAATAAGTGGTAGGATTCTTGTTACCCTAAGGTTAAAAGTTCGAATCTTACCACTATTTAGCTCTAGGGAGCCAACAAGTCTAGACCACTACATAGTACATGTGTGGATGTTATTATGTGAAGGCGAGTTTAAATTTATGACATAACTTAAAGACTAAATTCGGTATTATATTGCAGCCGTCTCATGCATTGACACAAGTGGAATCAGCATGTTTGAAGAAGTTAAGAAGATCATTGACAGAAGAAAGCTTCAGGTACATATATCCTATTACGTAGTTTCACAATTGTTACATGTTCAATCTTAAAAGTACGAAAATCGATATATTTTATATTATCTTACCAAAAATAATGCTGATTCTTATTTAAATGTTTTTTTTTCCTTGTAAAATTCAGCTTGTATTAGCAAGTCCAGGAGGAGAAGTGATGAAGAAATTGGACAGAGCCAAATTCATAGAGAAATTAGGGCAAGAATGGATACATTTGACCGTTGGGGAGGCAGTTGGAGCATGTAGGTACATGCTTCATACTTACAAGGCTGATGGTCAACCCGAGACGTGGAGCAACAATGTTTGACTTATTTTAAATTATTGATAAATTTGCTATTATTTAAATTTTGTTTTGGTGCTTAATCATAAGAAATTAAGAACAATTAATTAGGTGGCCTGGGGAAGAAAGTATTGTTATTAGCAACTTAATGAAAATTAGAAAGAAGTTGTGATTGTTAATTGGAAGCTAAGGTTTTTATGCCTTCCAAATTAAATCATCAACATGTAAAACTATTTTGTAGTGCATCAAAATGATGCTAGCTATATTGTGTATATTTATGAATCATGAAAAAATATTTCATGGAATTTGCAATCTTCTTCACATTGTAATGCATTGTCATTGCTACTTAATTAGCTTCTTCATCCTTGTATAAATTAAAGCTCCTTCCTTTATAATCTAATCCTACATACAATGAAGCTTTTGCTACGTGTATATGGATTGGATAATGCTATAAGAAGTCGATTAGTTCTCTAGTTGATCTTGCAATTATACGGTTCGACAAGTTTGATTTAGTTTATACCATTGTATTTATAGAGGATTAAAGCTTACACTTTCGCATGTACATAGTTAACTATAGAAATACATACTCTATCCGTCCCTAAATTACATTCTCGTTTTCCTCTATTATAATATTATGTGAGGAATAAATGCTAGAAATAGGAATGTAATTTAGGGACGGAGGGAGTATTAAATAATTGACTAGAAATCATAATTATTAAATCATAAAAATCCTAGCGTGGCCGCCTAGTACGGCTGTGTTCTTGTTTACTTACTATCCTTATTGACTTGGTGACCAACAAAGCTTCCAAATAAAGATGATAATAATTCAACATTTTCTTATTAAATTACATCAATTGGCACATTTATGATCCAAATTAATTAGGCCCTAGTTGCTTATTTAATTTGTGAAATGCATATAGCTTAGCTTTTCATTGTTTAGACTTTAGATGATTGATAATTTGATAACATAATAACATATAGTGTATAACTAATATGAGTGCTTAATCTGAAATATACTCCGTGAATTGATTGGTGGAGACCTTTTATCACGGACCTTGGGAAAGCTTAACGTAATAGGAGTAGTAATAAGTTAATTAACTACATGTAATGCAACTTGATGCTTGAGAGCTGTATTTTAGCTAATATTACTTGTATGTCATTTTGTTAGATCAAACTATCCCTTACCTTTTATTTTTAAGGATTTGTCGGAGAAAACATGTGATTTATCCCACATTAAAAAAGGGAAGATAAGAGCACGCATGTCAATGTTTTTACATATATTTGGGTTAGACACTCAAATCTAAATTTTATATTTGTAGGCAGGTACACTCAATTCATAGGTTTGACCTAAAATGTTTTAATTTTTCAATTCTTTGTTCATTTATATTTATTATTGAATTAGAGACTCGAAGAAACTTTAAATGCATGATCCCCCATAGTTTAACGAGAGGAGCCGAACCTATACCACCTCGTTGAAATTAAATTCAATTGTTGTAATCATATATAATTTCTTAAATAATTTCACAAATTAAAAAATTGTATATGTAAAAGTACGTTTTGATTGCCTTTTTAGGGTTGGGGAGGAGGAAAGAGGAGGAGTTTGATCATTTGACCTACTGCCACTATTCTGTTATTTCTGTACACCTAAATTAGCTTAGCGACGAAAAAAGGTGGACAATTATGTCTTGATCTTGTCTATACCACGTGTTTAAGCATGATAATCGTTAAATAAGGAGGCCTAACTATTACTAGGAAATATCTCAAGCTTAAAATGTATGTGTAATTCTTTTGTACGAAATTTACTTTGTTCGATTGTTATTTATGATCACAAATTGACAATGTAGTACTTTACCCTTAACATCTACAATTCAGTCATTATTAGATAGTATACTTTGGGATCTGTTCACTTCAACTTAATTTCAATTCAGTTCAGTTCAGTTCAACTTTCAGTTCAATTTAGATCCAATCAGTTTAGTTCAATTTAGATCCAATCAGTTATATAAATTGCAAAATACTTAATTAGTTAATTTATTAAAATTAATCTCAAATAAATTAGTTGTATTATTAATTATGAAAGCTGAAAATTAGGGAAACAAGTCCACTCTTAGTAGAAAGTGAGTTATGACTTTTGAGTACCTAAAAACACAATGCAATAATAGGCAAAGAATAATTAGGCAATGCTTGACCCCTAATAAGTGATTATGACATTTAACGTCTCTCCAAGACCAAGCCACGTGTCCAAGTGACGTAATATCCACAAGTGGCTTCCTTTAATTTGGACACTCTCCAAAGTCCAAACCATATGCCTTGATCTTCCTCTATATATACTCTTCAATTCATTACCTTATGATTTCATCTCTCAATTCTATGTATGAATGTTACTCTCCCCATTTTTCTTCTATCAAATAAAAAAAAAATCATTAATTTATAGACGTTTTATCAATATTAAAATACATACATAAGTCATATCATTTACTTCATAAATAAAATCTAGTACAATCACGTTATAACTTGTAACACTATAGTAATCGTGTTATCATATGGGGGTGGTGGAGGATCAACAATATGTGTACCCTAGTGCGAATATGGAGCAATGTAAGAGCCGAGTGGCGGTGCCACCACCTCAACCATTCTTAAACTCTCTACAAGCCTCATTGAAGGAGACATTCTTCCCCGACGACCCATTGAAGCAGTTTAAGAACCAGCCGAGATCTAGGAAGTTCATACTAGGGTTGCAATACTTCTTCCCCTTCCTCGAGTGGGCTCCGAAGTATAGTTTGGAGCTCTTGAAGTCGGATCTCATTGCTGGAGTCACCATTGCTAGCCTTGCTATCCCTCAAGGGATCAGCTATGCTAAACTTGCTAACTTACCCCCAGTCCTTGGCCTATGTAAGTACAATACTATACAATATACAAACTAATTAAATAATGGAATATACATATATATGTTCTTATTTATGTGAATTTATAATTTCAAAATTCAAAGTATAGTTTATGTATCGTATATGTTTATGGGTTTCACCTTTAATTTCATGCACTACATCATTATCATACTATACATGACCTATATTGCAAAGATCAGCTAACGAACTATGAATCTATGATCAAATTATAGGTACGTACCATTTTTGACTTTTGTGGCTTTTACAAACAAAACATAAGTAAATAAATGTGATGCCTTAGCTTATACGAAGTATATAAACAATTAAACACAAAATGCGTACATGTCTATGATTCACTCCCTATTTTTTCTTATCAAGTGAGATTTTGTTATAATTAAACGTCTAAAAGTGTGTCATTCTAACATACACTTACATATTTCATTGTCATTTATTATTACATTTTTGTATTTATTTACAATTTTTATTTTTATTTTGGGTGTGTTATACTTGCACAGATTCTAGTTTTGTTCCACCATTGGTGTACGCGATGATGGGGAGCTCTAGAGACTTGGCTGTGGGTACAGTCGCGGTGGCATCACTCTTGACAGGGTCTATGCTAAGCACCGTCGTGAATCCAACCAAGGATCCCAAACTATTTCTTCATCTTGCATTTACAGCCACCCTTGTTGCTGGAGTTTTCCAAACTTCTTTAGGCCTTTTGAGGTTGGTACTACAATTACTTTCAAATTTAAAACTACTTCTACATTACTACTATATACAAATTTAATTTTCTCTAACATAAGCAACATATGTAGTGTCAATCTATCTAGCTTATTTATGTACATGTATCCTTTGTTCATTCGATATAATGTTACAATTTTAAAAATTAAAGTAAATTATGGTTCAATCTTAAAATGTATACAAAATTATTACGAAGTATAAGTATATAGTACACGTAAAATGGTAAAAGTGATCTATTTTCTCATAATATATGTACTACGTGTACTTGTTGTCCATACTTCAAACTAGATATTTATTTTTCCACATGAAATCTTAATAATTTTAGAGGACAAAATATAAATTGTTTATAATTGCTTCAAAATCTGTAAAGCAGAAAATAGATCTAACTTTAAGTAGCAAGTGACCATTCTTAATAATTTTCTTCAATTCCCACATTCTGAGTATGATTGGATAGTGTTTAGATGTATGGATAAATCCATGCAAATTAAAGTTGGCAAACTCAATTAATGACAAAATTAAACAAATTCTTTTGGTAATATTTTTGTAATTTTGCTTTTGGACCCTTCTTTCCCTTTTTTGATAATTTATTTCACCCTATATTTTAATTAATTCTTTGTCATGTCATATGGTGAACTTTTTAATAATTGCAACTTTTACATAAAGCCAAAATTCTTAATTATTATGTCCAACCAATGAACAAAACACCACTAATTAATTATTCTACCTTGTTAAATACGAGTCTAGGCCACATTTTTCACAGGAGAGTGCAAGTCCACCGCTTTATAAGACAAAGGAAGTTTCACCTCAAAACCATATGACAATGAGGGAAGTAGTCCCTACCCTTATTAAGTGGCCGCAATTATCTTCTTTCTGTAATGTGGAATACACATCCCAATACAAACTCTTACTTAGGGCTGTCAAACGGGTCGTGTCGTGTCGGGTTCATGTTCGTGTCGATATTAAACGGGTTGAAAAACCCTTGATCCAAACCTAACCCGTTTATTAAACGGTTTGAAAACCCTTGACCCAAACCTAACCTGCTTATTAAACGGGTTACCCGTGTAACCTTTTACCCACTTAATATATAATAAACTAATTAATATTCAATTCAAAAAAAAAAGAAAAAGACATCATTAGTTCGTTAAAGATATTACAACAACTTTATGTTAGTAATTTTAACAATAGATACCACAAGGTTTTAAAGTTAGTAGTTTTAACAATACAACCATACATAAGAATTGTTTCAAATTATCCGCCAAATTAGATTTAATTTATAAAAGATGAAAATAATAATTTTTTCGCCAAATCAACCGCCAAAAATATTTCCAAAATGTATAAATGGTGTCAAAATAATTTACAAAATTACAAGTTTTGAATAGAAAAATTCAGTTATTTTTACTACTTAATTAATAGATTAAGCGTGTGAGGTTCGGGTTGATGGGTTGTCGTTCAACCCATTTATATAATCGTGTTATGCGTGTCGATTTCGGGTTGAAAGTTTCAACCCAAACTTAACCCGTTTACTTTCGTGTCGTGTTCGTGTCAACCCAATTATGTAAACGGGTTGAGAATTCTTGACCCAAACCCACTTATTTCGTGTTGGGTTCGTGTCGGATTATCGTGTCGTGTCAGCTTTTGACAGCCCTACTCTTACTTAATGTAGGACAACACACCAATCACATATAAGTTTTCTCATGGGCTCAACATACTTATAATTATAAAGGTTTTTGTTAGTGTAATAAGATAGATTAATTATGTGATTAATGGATCGATAATTATGCAGGTTAGGGTTCATAGTAGATTTTCTATCACATGCAGCAATAGTGGGATTCATGGGAGGAGCAGCAACAGTGGTGTGCTTGCAACAGCTCAAGGGAATTTTTGGACTTACTCATTTCACACAATCCACAGATCTCATCAATGTTATGCACTCTGTCTTTTCTCAAGAACACCAGGTTTATTTATATCACTCTATAAAATTAATATTACCTAGTATACGCTAAAATAGCAAAAATTGTACATCCAATAATGCATAACAATTTGTCTTTTGGCATAATAGGTTTTATTCTTTTGGAGTTAAAATTCATCTAATTTTATTTCTAGTTTATTTTAGTTCAATCCGCCAGCTAGGCCAGTCTATAGTCAGTTTCCTCTTATATTATTCCAAAATTATATATAAGTTGAAATATATAAGTACATATCACCACAAGGGCTGGCAATCCCTGACCCGACACAAACCCGACCTGAAGTTATTGAGAGAAACCCGACCCGAACAACCTGAATTCGACCCGATTTGACCCAAATTTCATATTTCATAATAATATTAAGTTTTACACTATTTTTATAGTTTCTAATCATAACTCGAAATCGACCCGAAATCCGACCCGAACCCAACCCGCTGACCCAAATTGCCACCCCTATTAAGCAATAGCCATTTTTTTTGACCAGTCAATTGAATTCATTGAAAGTTGAAAGCATTGTAGTCATGTTATATTAATTGGTGTCTATGTTTTTGTTGTTATGCAGTGGAGATGGGAAAGTGTGGTATTGGGATGTTGCTTCCTCTTCTTCCTGCTTCTCACTAGATTCTTTGTAAGTGCACTAAGATAAATTCTTTCTTAGCTTAAATGCTTTATTTTTCACATGAAATTATTATATTTTCTATATTACTCCGTAATATTATATCAATGTACATGTATAGTGAGAGCACAATGAGCATCATACATGCGTGCATGTTGTGTAGAAAAGTGTACGGGCCAGGGTAGGGCTAGTAATCCGTATTGGGTAGCTTAAATTAAATAAACGTACTTTTACGTTGAGATAATAAATGATACTACCTCCGTTTATTGTTAGCTGCAACTTTGAAGTATTATTTGAGAGACATAAAATATTTATATTTCAAAGTTGCAGATAACAATTAACGGAGGTAGTACATACAATGATATAATCTTTACTCCTGTATTGTTTGGGACGACAATTTGTTAAATGGAATGCAGAGCAAAAGAAAACCAAAGTTGTTTTGGATATCAGCAATGGCTCCTTTGACATCGGTTATATTGGGAAGCCTACTTGTTTATCTCACCCATGCTGAAAAACATGGTATCCAAGTGGTAAGCTTCCTCAACTCTCTTTTTTTTTTTTTTTTGAGTAAATTATTTACTTCATAATTTGTTTAATACACGATTACACGTATCTTTTTTAGACTTATACATTGTTCTTTTTTTTTTTTTTGTTTTTTTTTTTTTTTTTTTTTTTTGAAATCTACTACAAGTAGTAAAGAAGTATAGGCACATGAGAATATTGGGTTGGATTGGAACAAGTGAGTCCAAACCTCTATGGGCTGAAATGTTAGAAATGTCGGCCCATTATTAATGTTATTTGGTAAAATATAAAAAATTGTGGATGATACTATTTAATACCATTAATAATGTAATATAATTAATTATTTGAAAAAAAATATGTTAATTATGAACTATATAATTATTAAAATTTGATTAGCCTTTGAACAAGTTCTTAAATTTTAACTTAACATTTAATGTTACTATTCTTTACTTTCATTTAAAACTGCTCTTTAAAGTTCATTTTACTTTTACTTTAGTCTTTCGTGTTATATATTAAACTTAATGAATTTGTTCAACTTGGGACATTTACAGATAGGTTACTTAAAGAAGGGTATAAATCCACCATCCTTTGGTGACTTTGTATTCATTTCTCCTTACTTTCCGGTGGCTCTCAAAACCGGAATCATTACCGGTGTCATTGCTATGGCTGTGAGCTTCTATACCTTGACCATCAAATTTCGTATTAGTTAACATGAAGTTTAGAAAATTAATCATATACTAATCAAAATGCAGGAAGGAGTTGCTGTAGGAAGAAGCTTTGCCATGTTTAAGAATTACAATATTGATGGTAACAAAGAAATGATTGCCTTTGGCATGATGAACATTTTTGGGTCTTGCACCTCTTGCTACCTTACCACTGGTACGTAACCTTTTACTTAATTCCATATATATGTTTTGCTACGATATTATTCCCTCTATTTCATAATACACGCACAATATATATATATTACTCTTTAGCCTTATTTAGTACACACTCGATTAGTATTTGTTAAACAACTTTGTGGTTAACTAACCACGTACAATATTGAATGCCTAGGTCCATTTTCAAGATCAGCGGTGAACTACAATGCAGGGTGTAAAACAGCAGTTTCAAACATAGTCATGTCAGTGGCAGTAATGATCACATTATTGTTCTTAACACCATTGTTCTATTACACTCCTCTTGTAGTACTTTCATCCATTATCATCTCTGCCATGCTCGGACTCATAGATTATGAGGCTGCTATCCATTTGTTGAAGATTGACAAATTCGATTTTATGGTTTGTATGAGTGCCTACATTGGTGTGGTCTTTGGTAGTGTTGAAACTGGCCTAGTGGTCGCGGTATGTTAATCTTTTACTCCGTATGGTAGTTCTTAACCCCTTTAAAGCTAGCCATGTAGTAAAACACTTCATGCATACTATTTTGGTTATTTTTATTGTTGTCAGGTCAGTTTTGTCTAGTCTAAGGGCATATTCACATTTACTGAACTGAGCTGAGCTGAACTGAAATGAACTGATTGGAGCTGAATTGAGCCGAGCTGAACTGAACCGATTAGAGCTGAACTGAACTGGGCTGAAATGAATATTTTATAAGAGAGAAAAATTAGGAGCTGAATTGAATTGAACTGAACTGATTGGAGCTAAACTGAACTGAACTGAACTGATTAGAGTTGAACTGAACTGAACTGAAATTAAGTAAATATGAACAGACCCTAACTAGTCCTCATAACTTGGATGGTCAAAATATTGCATAAAATTATGTATTTATTTTTTGGACTAATATAAGGTAGTTGTTATTGTTTGATTATGAATAATTTGCAGGTTGCATTTTCTGTGCTAAGGTTGTTACTATTTGTAGCAAGACCAAGAACTTTTGTTATGGGCAATGTGCCAAATTCGATTAGTTATCGAAGCATTGACCAATACCCTGCGGCTCAAACTGTCCCTGGGATACTCATACTTGAAATTGGTGCTCCTATATTCTTTGCCAATGCTACTTACTTAAGAGATAGGTATGTAATCTCTTATTAATTAGTAAGCTAAGCTAGATAGAGGAAAATTGACTAGGAATCGAGTTTTTCTTACAAATGATATTTTCGTGTTTGTTAACAGAATCATAAGGTGGATTCACGAAGAAGAAGATAGGTTAAAATCATCCGGAGAGGCCAATTTACATTATGTGATTTTGGATATGAGTGGTAAGTTTACATTGTACCTACACTTAGCATAACCAGGCTCCAATCGAATTAACATTTCTTAGTTTTGAACCTAGATGTATATTACTACATATATAATTTTATTAATAGTTCGAGTTAGACATTATGAAAGTAAAATTTGTGGCAATTGTAGCGGTTGGAAGCATTGATACGAGTGGAATCAACATGTTTGAAGAACTTAAGAAGGTTATGGACAGAAGAGATCTCAGGGTATATATTCTTTTATCATTATTGACTTAATAATCTACGTCGATTCTTAATTATTAGACATACTTGAAAAGTAAGAATTATTTTTGTAATCTCCTCTTTTATTTGATTAGCTTGTATTGGCAAATCCGGGAGGAGAAGTAATGAAGAAATTACAAAGATCGAAAGTAGTAGAATTGTTAGGAGAAGAATGGATACATTTGACTGTTGGAGAGGCAGTTGGAAAATGCACATACATGTTGCATACATATAACCCAAAGTCAACTCCGAAGTCAATGGGTGATCAATTAGAGACATGCACCAGCAACAATGTTTGAATTTAGCAACAGAAATTTGCAATTATTTGTTGATATATTGATATAATTAGTTGATTACTAGTGCATCAAAATGATGCAATAGTATGTAATTTATAAGCCTTAATAAGCTTCAAAATTATGTTTAATCTTAAATTGTAGCCATTACAAGCTATTTGATTTGTAGTCGTCTTTGAATCAATTTGTGACAAATATTGTTCGTGGATATAGAATTATTATGACAAAAGTTGTTATTGTTCAATGTTTATCTCACTTAATATAACAATATTTGTGATTTAAGTACAGTACTCAAAATGTAGAATTATACAAACACTTCTTTCATTCCAAATTTAATGGCACGTTTTGACTTTTGACACTATTTATAAATTTTAATTTTGACTAGCTTTTGTGATTTAAGATTTTGTTGAAGTTCTCTAACTTCTCTTAATGTATTTTTTCTAAATATCAAATATATATATATAATTATCTCACTTAACTTCTCTTAACGAGCGCGCCGGGGCGTTAGATAAGGATAAATTATATTGGTTGAAATGATATTAAGTTAGGAATTCATGACAAAATCACGCGTCGTTCGGTGTAATTAATGTTAATTTTACTCTAATATTTGTACTTTAATTCTCTTATCTAACGCCCCGGGGGCGCTCATTAGGTTTTGCCGATATTTTTTTTTAGGAAATATATAGTGATAATTAGAGATATTAACAGTTGAATTTGTGCATTGACACATGTAATAAAATAAACGCGTATCTAATTTGGAGTAGCCATGAAAAGCTAAAAAGTAAAAAAAAAAATCAATGAAAATAATAATTAATTACATATTGAACGTTATACAATCCTAAATTAACAAGAGTACATTATGAGTAAATGCTTTTTTTTTTTTTTTTTTTTTTTTTTTTTTTTTTTTTTTTTTTGGATTCAAAGGAGGATCCAAAGGAAATAAAAAGAACAAGAAAATAAAAACAAACACACCAAACAAAAGAAAACTACCTATGGAGGGATAAGCCGAGGCATAGCTACTCCTCTAAAATACGATTAAGTTCGACTGACACATTATTACTATAAATTTCCAATTAAGTGTCATAAATGCTTATTTATAGCCTTGTGAAATCATTATCTTTTCTAATTATCAACCTTAAAAAAAAAGAAAAATCCAAATTTTGTTTTATATTATTGGTCTAAATTTATTATTACTCTGTATTAAACTATTTTTATTTTTTACAAAGTATTTTTTTTTTTAAAGGAAAAACCTTGACTACACACATTGTTATACGACCCAGTTCGCCAAAATTCAAAGTGACAGTTTCCAAAAAAAAAAAAAAAAAAAAAAACCAATTTCAGAGATTAAGCACTCCTCTTCTTCATACTTCAGAGTTCAGTACTATTACTAGGGTTCTTCCTAAATTCATATATTTCCCATTAATTTTCCAAAATTACAGAAATTTCCAGGCTTCTATAGCAATTTCGTTGAATTAAACCCATCTGCAACTGTTTGCCATTTCAAATTATGGCTCCTCTGAAGAAGAAATCAAAGAAGAAAGATTTGAAGAAATTAAAGAAGAAAACTAAAACAGTGAATGTTGTTCCAATTGAACCCAGACCCATTGAATCTGATTGGTGGGATAGTTTTCTCCACAAAATCTCCTCCTCCCCAGGTAACCAATTTTCTCTTTCCATAGTTAATTTACGCTAATTTTCTGTCATGAAATTGCAATTTGTTGATGTATATTTACCTGGGAATTTGTTAATTTTAGGGAAATCTTTGTTTGATTTCTGAATTGCTTCTAATTTTATTTTGTTGATGTTATTTGAGTTCTAGCTGAAAATGGGTAAGTTTGTAATTTTTCTTTATTGTTGTTGTTGTTGTTAATTGTCTATGAAAACTACTTAGCTATAATGAAGGGTAATAGGGTGTCCATTCCACAATCGGATATTGCTGTTCTTGTTGATTTTCTATGAAACTATTTGGCTATAATGAAGGATAGTTTGGTTTCCATTCTACATTCGGGTATTGTTATATAAATTTACACCCTCAAACGTTCTCCTCCGCGGTTGGTGAATTTGAGAGGGTGTAGAATAGTAGATTTACACAAGATATAATATGGAAATTACACTAGTTGATTAAGTTACGAAAATGTTGGTTAAGTGACTAGAAAATTTGTTATTTGGGAATCTTTCAGGTTTAACAATACATAGTGATGAAGAGGAGGCATTCAAGTTTTTCTTTAGGGTGTCAAAAAAGACATTTGAGTATATATGTTCACTTGTTAGAGAGGACTTGATATCGAGACCACCCTCGGGGTTGATCAACATTGAGGGGAGGCTCTTAAGTGTTGAGAAACAGGTTGCAATTGCAATGAGGAGGTTGGCTTCTGGTGATTCACAGGTTTCCGTTGGTGCCTCTTTTGGGGTTGGTCAGTCCACTGTTTCTCAGGTCACTTGGAGATTTATCGAGTCATTGGAGGTTCGTGCTAAGCACCATATTAAGTGGCCTGATCAGGATCGGTTGGAGGAGATCAAAACAAAGTTTCAAAGTTTGTTTGGGTTGCCCAATTGTTGTGGTGCGGTAGATGCTACTCATGTTCTTATGACCCTACCGGCTGTTCAAACATCAGATGACTGGTGTGATCAAGCCAATAATTATAGCATGTTGCTTCAGGGAATTGTTGATGATGAAATGCGGTTTCTTGATGTTGTCACTGGTTGGCCTGGGGCAATGTCGGTGTCTAGATTTTTGAAGTGTTCTGGGTTTTATAAGTTGTGCGAAAATGGAGTGCGATTAAGTAAAAAATTGAGGTTAGATGATGTAGAGATCAGAGAGTACATTGTCGGTGGAGTTTACTACCCTCTTCATCCTTGGCTCATGATCCCTTATGAAAATCAAGATTCTACCCTCATGAACTCAAAATATAAGGAGGCACATGAGGCTGCAAGGTATTTGGCAGTGAGGGCATTATCATATTTGAAGGGAAGTTGGAGAATTCTTAGCAAGGTCATGTGGAGGCCCGATAAGAGTAAGCTACCCAGCATAATCTTAGCCTGTTGTTTACTCCACAACATTATGATCGATTGTGGTGATAAATTGCTCTCTGATATTGCTATTCCTGGTCACCATGACTTGGGTTATGAAGAGCAATCGTGCAAGCTTGTTGATACCTCAGGGGGTACCATGAGAGATAATTTAGCTACATATTTGCAGCCTAGATAAAGAAGGCACTGATTATTGACTTAAGCATGTCTCCATCTTTGGTTTCCGGCAGTCATATTTTTTCTTGGGGTTGAGGGGTTAGGAAGCCTTCAATGGGGTTTTTGTAAATTTAGGGATAAGAGATAATTTAGATGAATGCGAGTTGAGTGTCTGCAGTATCTGAAATATTTAAAGCTGTTGTATAACATATGCTGTTTGATTACTTGCTTTTCAATGAGAAAGAACCCTGTTAATTTCAAATATTACAGTTCCTTTTTTTTTTTTTTTTTTTTTTTTTTTCAAATTCTATATATACTGATTATTTAAGAACTAAGTGGAACTCACCTGGTAATTCTGTAAGAGCTTGAGTGTACGAGTCTAGAATAATGAGTTGCTTGTAGAAAAATCAGTTAGTACAAGAGCAGAATATGGATAGAAAGCATTTTCTTTTATTTTTGTTATAAATTAATTTTAGGCAGCCCCTATCATTTCTTGTAAAGACCTATTTAATTAATTTATCTTAAATGTATTTATTGCCCTAATCTGAACTATCTTCCTAAACTAAGTGGACAGGTGAAAAGAACCAGAAGGTAAATTAAGTTCAGACAACAACTAATAACAGCTATCCAAATTCAACTTACAACTAACATAGTCTAAATTAAATAAAATTAATTAACAGAAAATTAGGTGAATAGAAACGCAGCTTAACTAATAATTGTGGAATGGAAGTAACAATAACATCAACTATCAAGTAATATGGAGCAGTTCATTCAACAAACTTCTTTTTTGTTTGTTTTATTTATTGTCCAAAGTTTTACTTCTACTGTTTCAATATAGTTTGCTCACTTTCCTTTTATGTCTATCGAATTTATTTTGTGCAATTCTAAAATTGCCAATGACACTATTTTTGTTTCACAAATTTTTGTATGCGACTGGCCACGTAATGCGGCAGCCGGCAGGGGTTACTTGTAGGGTGTTATTGGTTTTGTTAGGGTTTACTTGTATTTTGTGATTACTTGTATGGGTGTTATTGGTTTTGGTCAGGGGTTAGTTGTAGGGTGTTACTGGTTCTGTATGGGGTTTTGGTACAAGTAACCCCAGAATACAAGTAACCCATACAAGTAATCCCATACAAGTAATCCCAGAATTTAAGTAACCCCCTACAAGTAACCCCAAAATACAAGTAACCCATACAAGTAATCCCAGAATACAAGTAACACTCTACAAGTAACCCCTACCGCACCATGTGGCCTGCAGCAATAAAAACCTCTGATTTTGTTTTTGTTTTTGTTTTTATTTTTATTTTTTTATAAAAAATTACATATTATTTCCAAGTTGGGCTGCTACATTTTTTTTTTGCATCAACTGATCGTATATATCTTGATTATTTCTGAGGTAATTATCAATTTTATTGTTATCATAATCTTGCATATCCATAGAAGTTTTATGAATTTCAAGAATTCAATTTTTTCTAGGGTTTTAGATTCATTGGAGGAAAGCCCAATAAGTGGAGGAGATGAAAAGGAATTTCAGAGCCATTAACTCAATTTTGATGGTTGGGGTTAACCCCACATCCTGGTATATTCTCTTCCTATTTTCAATTTTGTTTTAATTTATTTTGGAATAATATTGATTTTCCTCTTTGAATGAACTTTGTCAAATTTGTGTTAGTGGCTTTTGATATAAATTGCTAACTATTCTAAACAATCTAAAGTAATTGTATTAGTTCAAATTAGTAATAGCTCATCTTTCCCCCCTTCTCTACATTGCCTATTGAATCAAGTGAATGTTCATTTGTTCTGTTCTCATGTGTAGCATGCTAAGATTGCTAACATAAGGGTATTCTTTATTATTTTGATACTCATATTATATAACACAAGGGAACATTTATTGGAAAGCACCTGATATGTATCATGTTTTGCCAGAAAGTACTTGTCATGGAGTATTTATCATTTTGTCCGAAGCATCTAGTATGTATCACAATGCACACATTCTTTTTATGAGTAATTGTCAATATTTTGTCAACCTATGGCAATATGATGATGATTACTAATTTACTATCGTCATTTGGCAATTTAGGGTCATATGGTGATCAGTTATCAGTGCTAAGAAGTCATTGGTACCAACTAACATTTGATTAGGTCATGACTATTTAGTACCAAGATTAAAACTGACAACTTCTTCAATTATATAACCATTCAGGAAAGAATTTTGATGGAATTTATGAGGTTGCAAAGGTATGATTGCATTACTAAACTTCCATTTCATTGATTCCTTGACTCTGCATAAACCAAATTCTCTCCTTGACATTGTGCTTTGATATTTTCTTATCATTCTTTTTTCGACCCACAATACTTACTCTTGCTTTTTCATTTGCGGTTTTGGATTTCACATATTGATAACCAACAAGTTTCACTTGCTTTTAAACTGCTTCAATCTTCCGAGTCAGGCCCAAATTGAGATTTAGTTGTGCAGGTTTGGCCTCTGGTTCAATCTGCTTCAGGATTCAGGAATGACATTTTTAGTAGAATATATCACCTTGCTGAGAGTAACTTGTTTTAAGTGGAGGAATAACCTTGGATCCTCTACTATGCAAGGAAGATTGTTATCTCCTTGTGGTTATAATGTTATATTGCCCATATTACTCCTATTTTTCAGCTGTCAAAGGTTTTGGACTTTTGGTTAGGATTTAGGATTAGTGTTTTACCATGACTCAAAATATGCAGAGCCACACATAAAATGGACGGTGGCATAACTTCACTTAACCTCTCAAGGGAAAGGGTAATGCAGAGCTAGATAAATTCAGATAAAGTAGGCAAAGTGCTTATTCTGGCTAGGTGTTTTTTAAATTTTTAATTTTTTTTTTTCCTATTTACTACAAAAAAGGAAAACCCTTGTGAGCAGCAATTTTCTCATGAAGTACCATATTATCATTGATGTAGCAAACTATGTACAAGCTAGTGATATTAAGACAATAGGAAGTAGACATACATAAGAACTTCAATATTCCATCACAAACCATATCCTTTATTACTAGTATATAACATGTAGAGCTGAACTCTCTCGTCTATGTCTTTATGCTCTCCTAACTCTCCTAGTTGGCCTCCTCCTTCCGAAGGTGTCCATAAACCATTCATGGTACTTGTCAGTGATGTAGATTTTCCCAATTACAAAGCCAACTATGGTCCCACTAATACAACCCAGTGATCTGACGACCCAATCAATTAACTCAGAATCGTCATTGCTCTCATCAATATTCACTGTTGGCGGTGGCACATCTTCATTTACACACTTCTTGGATAATAAACTTCCACACAACCCGGGGTTTCCTTGGAATGAGGTATCATCAAAGGTATTGAATTGGTTTCCTTGTGGTACTGGGCCCATGAGATGATCATTATTGGAAATGTTGAACACCTCTAGTGATGTCAATTGTGATAGTGCTGGAGGAATTGCACCGGAGAGTTTGTTAAGAGAAAGATCTAGTGATTCAAGGTCTGTTATGTTGGCTACAGAGGGTGGAATTCTACCTTCAAGATTATTGTTGGACAAGTTGAGTGCTTGAAGCCCCTTGAGATCCCCAACGACATCTGGTATCCTGCCCGTGAAGCTATTACTTGATAAATCAATGACCCTAAAGACTTTAAGAACCTTTGGGTAAAGAATTTCGTTGCCTTTGTTTGTTATGGTGATCGAGTACTCAAAATTCTGTTCAGAAATTACTAAATCTGTTCCCACCTTAAAGTAGAAAGTAATCAGAGTATTGTATGAACCTGATTGTTCTTCTTTAGAATCTCTCATTGCATGCCAATTTTGAAAGTACCTTGATGGTAAATGACCTGTATGAAGATTGTGGGATAGGTCAATAATGCGCAAGAAGCGGAAACCGAGGTAAGGTTTTGGATGCATTATGCCTCCAAAAAATTTATTATGGCTCAGGACAAGGACTTGCAACTTTGGGAGACTTCCTAACCATGATGGAAAAGAATCATTAATTTGATTTCTTCCAACATCAAGTACCTCAAGCATTTTACAATTTGCAAGTGACCTTGGAAGCTCACCTCCCAATTGATTTTGACTCAAGTTGATCATCTTCAGTTTGCAGTATTTTGAGAATTTTATGGAACTCGTGCCACGGAGATTGTTACCTCGCAGGTTCAGAAGCTGTAGAGATTCACCAAGCTGACCCACGCAATCTGGTATCTGTCCGGTCATGTTGTTGCCAGACAAATCAAGGGAAATTAGAGACTTTGCATTGCAAATTTGCCTGGGAATAACTCCAGTCAACAGATTATCTGAGATATCGTAAAACTTCATAGAACCTGGTGGAGAAGGAACTAGTCCTTGTAACTTATTACCCCTGAAGCAAAAGTCCTCCAAATGGGTCCACGGAAGCTCTGCTGCAGGCTTTTCAAAGCCTGTCAAATTATTCTGGGAAAGATCAATTTTAAGGAGATTCTCTTTAGTTGTATTCACCAACCATTGTGGTAAATTACCCTTGATTTTGTTTCCTTTGAGTGATAGTGATTGCAGCTCATTTTGATACTGAAGGAATTGCGGAAAATCGGTCAAGTTGCAAAATTCTAGTTCCAAGAGCTTGAGCTTTGGAAGAGATGAATTGGTAGTAGAACTAGGAAATGTTAGGTTGAGTTGAGATAAAGCTAGATTACGAAGATTCTTTAGATGAAAAAAAATTTCGAATTTGCCAAACAAGTTGTTGTAAGACAAGTCTATTGATTGAAGGTTGGTAAACTGAGAAAACCATTGTGGTATTGGACCATCTAATTGATTGTTCTCCAGATACAGTTGCCTTAGCTTGGTTAGGTTTGCAAACCATTGTGGAAATGGACCTATTAGCTGAGATGAAGCGAGATCTAGATAATTAAGTTTTGTAAAGTTTGCAATAAAAGGAGGTATCTCAGTAGCTAGTTTCATTTCAGCAAGGCGTAAATAACTGAGATTGTGTAGCTTGGACAACTGCGAAAACAAGTCTTGTGGCCTGAATTCTAGATTCGAGAAATCTAAAGCTTCGAGGCTGGTAAGATTAGTGATAGAGAAGGGGACTTCACCTTTGAAGTTATTGCGACTTAAGAGTAAAACGGTAAGTGTTGTCATGTTAGCCAGAGAAGATGGAAGTGATCCTGAGAAATAACAACCACATAGGTCGAGTTGTTCCAAATGAGCAAGATTTCCAATTGAAGGTGGCACTTCTCCTGAAAAAGCTGTGCCAAATAGATACAGCTCTTTAAGAGGGTTAGTAGATTGAAACTGAGGCAAAAATCCTGCTAAAACTCTATTGCCACTCAGGTAAAGGAATTCAAGTTGTGGCAATTTGAAAACACTTGTTGGCAGTTCTCCATACAAGTTACAGTATTGGAGGGAAATAGCTTTTAGAGAGGTTAGATTTGTGAGGATGATTGGAACTTTAGTAGATAAGACAACCATATCAAGATAGAGTTTCTGAATACGAGTTAGGTTTCTGAGTAACTTCTCAAGACCCCGACCCTGAAGTTTCAAGTTAAGTTGGCTGTTAGCTAAAGAATCACCATTGTTGGAAAGATCAAGGGTATAAAGCTGTGATAATTTTGAGATTTCAGATGGGATTTGGCCGCTAAATGATGAATAGGAGAGATTAAGATTTTGTATCTTGTTGATTTGGCCGAGTTTAGAGGGAATGAGAGAGTAGTTAAAATCATTAAAGGCAAGATTAAGCTTTTTAAGATGAATGAGGCTGAAAAGGGTGCTGTTAGGAGGAAAATTTCCATAAAGACAGCTGCTACTGAGGTCGAGCCCTGTCACATGACCTGTCTCCTCCTCGCACTCAACACCATCCCACATACAACAATCCCTTGTTAGCTCACCTGACCATGATTTCACCTTTGGATATGCAGATGCAGAATCAGAAACAGCGCAGTTTATAAGGAAACTCTGCCTGAACTGCTGCAATGCCAATCTTTCATGATCAGCACATGATGGCCGCGAAGAGGACACAAAATTGTTTAGTTTAATGGCATGAGAACATACTGGAACTAAGAAAAGAATGTAAATGCATGACAAATAACACATGAACATAGTGTTATTATGATGCAGCTTTTACTTATAGGTTCTTGTTTGTTTAGAAAAAAGAAGTAAGCAAAAAGGTTTGTTTTATAGACAAGAGAAGGCATGATTTTCTTTGCTGGTCAAAGAAGTTATTGAATTTTCGGTATCTGCTTTGAAGATTGTGGGTACAAAAATATTCTGACTAAATGTGAATCCATTCTATCTTGTAAGGATGTTATTTGAACGTTCTTGGAAATTTGAAGGTATAACCTAAGAATTTTCGCACTTGCCTAGTTTTTAAGGGGGGACATATTGAAGTCAGCATTTTAACAGATTGCTGAAGAATTTGTGCAAAGCACTAGTGAACTGCCAACTTCTGGGAATATGAAAACTAGAAAAGCATACTTGAGAGAGTAAAAAGTTACTGTACAGATTAGGGATGGAGAAAGAAATATGATTGATGAGATGGTGAGAGAAAAGCATAAAAAGTCTTTGTAAAGACCTTGAAATTTATGGTGGATATAGTACCTGACTTACCTATTGTATTTATCAATTTGATTTTGAATTTGAATTTTCTCTTTGTTTGACTTTTTATCTTTGGTGAAGCATATATGGAGTAGTGTAATTGGCTGTTTGATTTTTCTTGGTTATTGATTACAATAACTGTTGATAAAATTAGATTTGTTATGAAGTGCTATTTTAGTATTTACGATAAAATTCATTAGTTTGTAGTGATGAGCTTCTCTGGGAAGTGAGAACTAATAAGTAACAACCTGACATGGTAATATTCCCTTTATTCTATGTTATTTTCATCTAAGACTAAGAGTATACAGAATATTTCAAGAGGTGTTACTGTGTTAGTGATTAAATTGGTATCTGAATTAACAATTTATCACATATTGATTATTTTATCTAACAACTTATGATGCACTGATACTTAAATTGACAAATATATGAAAAATCAAAATGGAGGGAGTAACTAGTGAAGTTGATATAGGAGCTAGAGGGCCAACAATGGACAGTTCTTAGTTTTCAGAATATATATTGATAAGGGTTAGACCGTTTGTTTTTAGCTAGGTTAGTCAGAGAAGTCCTCGAGAAAAGTGATAGAGACGGGAGTTGTTAATCATAAGGCACCAAAGAATAAAGAATAGGCAAATTACTCTGCATTAGGATCAATAGTACTGTATGATAATTTTTTCAATGATAGCAATGATATACTGTGCAACTTATTTTATGCTGCTACGATGTATAATCTACCAGTGCAGGCTAGAATGATGCAGATGTCTGTAATAAATCTATTTGGTTTGCTTCAGGAATGATGGTAGCAGTATTGTTGTTTGACATGGGAAGTTGTTGCTGTTAGAGGATCAAACTTGAACACCTAATACAGAGGTAAGAAATATCTTGTCTTAATTTTTATGTTTCATGGAGATATGAAGATAAATTTGACAGCGGCAGGGCTGCATTTCTAAGATGTTTGAAGGGATACTTGCATTTTAACATTTAGCTAATTAATTTTTGGTAGAAGTTGTTTAAGTAATGTATCTTAGTATGTTTTTTACTCCACAATATTGTGATTTATTGTGTTGATAAATTACTCTCGGATATTGATATTCCTAGACTCCTGGTCACCATAACTTGGGTTATGAAGAGCAGTCTTGAGCAGTTGAGCCCCTTCAAAGGGGTATTCTGTATATTTGGAAATACAGAAGAATGTAACTTGACTATCTGCGACTGCAGCATCTGATATGTTTTAAGCTGTCGTATTATGCATGTTGGTTTGATTTCTTGTTCAGTTGCTTATTGTTGAGTATTGCTTAGTTGCTTATTAGGACTTGGAGTGATGACTTTAACAGTGTGGGTTTGGATAAAAATATGAAAGAAAAGAAGGGGAGGGAGGTGAAGGGGAGAGGGAAGAGAAAGGACGAGGAGGGAAGAAAAATGAGTTTTTCTTCCAAATCTCTCCATTGTTAGAGAGATTAATTTTCTACAATTAAATCCTTTTATTTCTCTCCCCTTCAATTCTTTTCCTTCCTTATTTGTTATTCAAATGAAAGATAATCAATCCCTCTATTTCCCTTTCCTTTTTTTTTCCTCCATTTCCTTTAATCCAAACAAAGTGTTATTTTTACATCCTGAAAGAAAGTACCAGATTAGGGTAATAAAATACAACTTTTTTTTTAAAAAAAAACTTCGTAATAAAAAATAAATAAATCATATGACAGGGTTTTCCATTTTTTATGGAAACGAGGTCATTATTAGAAAGGGGTCAATGTGGGTCAATAATATATCCCAAAATAATTTTGAAAAGTAAAAGTTTGAAAATATGAATAAAAACAAGTTGAAAAAAAGAAAAGAAAAAACTAGATCAAATCAATAGTGATGCACAGGGAAAAAAGACAAACGGGATCAAAAGAGAATGAACAAATGTACTTGTATGACGGTGGCACGCTCTAAAACGAACGATCAACTCAAACTATCCGTGATTCCTGTCCACTATAAAGGTCAATGGTGTACTAAAAAAAAATATACTCCTTCCGTTTCAAAATGTTAGTCCCATATATTATTTTTGGCGTTTTAAAAAGATTTACCCATATTGAATATATTTCATTTATAACTTGATTTTTTTGGAATTAAATGATTGTGGAGTGATGACATGACTCTAAGTAAGGAAATTTTTTCCTTAAATTATGCAAGTATAACTTGTGTTTTCCCAATAAAAAATCAAAAAAGTTAAAATGTTAGATTCCAAACACTATTGTTTTCTTATTTTATGTGATTGATTCCATATGAGACTAATATTATAAAACGGAGGGAGTAATATGACCGGTATATATTTTGAGGTTAGATGATGTAGAGATCAGAGAGTACATTGTCGGTGGAGTTTACTACCCTCTTCATCCTTGGCTCATGATCCCTTATGACAACCAAGATTCTACCCTCATGAACTCAAAATATAAGGAGGCACATGAGGCTGCAAGGTATTTGGCTGTGAGGGCATTATCATATTTGAAGGGAAGTTGGAGAATTCTTAGCAAGGTCATGTGGAGGCCCGATAAGAGTAATAAGCTACCCAGCATAATCTTAGCTTGTTGTTTACTCCACAACATTATGATTGATTGTAGTGATAAATTGCTCTCTGATATTGCTATTTCTGGTCACCATGACTTGGGTTATGGAGAGCAATCGTGCAAGTTTGTTGATACCTCAGGGGGTACCATGAGAGATAATTTAGCTACCTATTTGCAACCTAGATAAAGAAGGCACTGATTATTGATTTTAGAATGTCTCCATCATTGGTTTCCGGCAGTCATTTTTTTTAATTTCTTGGAGGTGAGGGTTCAGGGAGCCTTCAAAGGGGTTTTTGTAAATTTTGGGATTAGAGATAAATTAGATGAATGCGAGTGGAGTGTCTGCAGTATCTGAGATGCTTAAAGGTGTTTTATAGCTTGTGCCATTTGATTTCTTCTTTTCAATGAGAAAGAACTCCGTTAAGTTCTTCAATATTACAGCTCCCATATATTTTTTTCTTCCAAAGAACCCTGGGGCAATGGCGGTGTCTAGATGTTAAAAGTGTTCGGGGTTTTACAAGTTGTGTGAAAATGGCGAACGGTTTAGTAAAAAATTGAAGTTAGATGATGCAGAGATCAGAGTACATTGTTGGTGGGGTTTACTACCCTCTTCTTCCATGGCTCATGATCCCTTGTGAAAATCAGAACTCTTTGTCCATTAACTCAATATGCAGGGAGACACATGAGCCGCAAGATACTTTGAAGTGAGTGCAAAGGGCGATAGGGGGCTATAGGGCATTATTTCATTTGAAAGGAAGTTGGAGTATTCTTAGTAAGATCATGTGGAGGCCCAAAAAGAGTGAGCTGCCCAGCATTATCTTAGCATGTTGTTTACTGCACAATATTATGATTGATTGTGGTGATAAATTGCTCTCTGATATTGCTATTCCTGGTCACCATGACTTGGGTAATGAAGAGTAATCTTGCAGATTTGTTGATACCGCAGGCTAAATATTTGCAGTCTAGATATAAGAGGCTCTGACTGCTGATTTTAACCATGTCCAATTCTTTTTTTTTCTTATTTTTTTTTAATTATTTTTTTTTTTTGGGGGGGGGGGGGGGTGGGGGTGGGGAATCTGGGGAGGGGGTCATTGGCCCTTGAGCCTCTTCGAAGGGGTATTCTGTATATTTGGAATGTAACTTGACTATCTGCGACTGCGCTGCAGCATCTGATATGTTTTAAGCTGTTGTATTATGCATGTTGGTTTGATTTCTTGCTCAGTTGCTTATTGTTGAGTATTGCTTAGTTGCTTATTAGGACTGGAGTGATGACTTTTACTTTTACATCCTCAAAGAGACTAAGAGAGTGCCAACACCATATTTCTTTGAGTTGATCGTTCGTTTGAGAGTGCCAACATCATACTAGTACATTTGTTCATTCTCTTTTGATCCCGTTTGTCATATGATTTTTTTAAGCTGTATTTTACTACCCTACCCCTTTTGCCGTTAAGTTATCCGTGATTCCTATCCGCTACAAAGGTCAATAGTGTAATTTTTTAATATTAAAAAATAAAAAAAAGGATATAATATGTGCAGTATATATATGGTACTTTTTTTATTTTATCTTGAAATATACTACTCCGAACATATTTTGTATCCTTATTGTATTAGGTTTCCTAATGAGGATATAATCAAATTGGAGTGTGTAACAAAAAATACATATATAGTTCCAATTAAAGTTTCAAAAGTAAAACATAATAATAAAAAAAAAGTATCAAAATACATTCATCAGGTTTTCCCAAAATTTAAACACATCATGACGAAGAATTTGACTGCAAACAACTTCGACTCCGAAGACATGGTGGATTTCAATGATGAGGATTTCACACATGTGGAAAAAAAACAGTGCACCACGCACCGTCGGTACTGCCGGATTTCCCACGACATCCGCCTCGCAATGAAATTCAGCTTAAAAGTGGCCAACAACATCTTGCAAGAAAATCTTACCATTGATAATCCTAAGAATGTTGTTTGTTCCCCACTTTCGATGGACGTCTTGCTCAACATGATTGCCCTTGGTGCAAAGGGGTCGACGCTAGGTCAGCTCATGGAGCTTCTCGGGTGTGGTAGCGTGGATGACTTTATGGCCAGGGCGTCCGTGTTAGCCAGTATCCTCCAAGAAGCTAAGGATGATGAACTAGGATTATCTTCCGTCAATGCATTATGGGTTGATCTAATCTATACCCTAAATGCGTCGTTCCAAAAGGTTGTGAGGGATTTGTACAAAGCTGAGTCTAAGGCTGTTGATTTTGTGAATCAGGTACATACTCATCTTATAACCTTTGTACAATTGTTTTACAGTAATATGTAAATATTGAGTATTTAAGTTTTGTTCGCCTGACTTTCACTTAATTATACTGTGTATTTTATGCTTAATAAATTTAAGTTTTTATCCGTTACCAATACGTCCAAAAATTTGACCTACTTCTATTGTTTTTATTTTATTGCACCGTTAAGACTTTTAACACTATTCACACAATCTTCTTTGATGACTTTCTTTTGTGATTTATTCGTCAAGAAATTTATTGTCATGTACAATCTATTAGGTTCATCTTAAAATCTATCTTGTAAATATCAACTTTTTATAACTTTTACAAAAGTAAAATTAAAGATTTTATAGCCAAAGTAATGCATTGACAAACATAAAATCACTCATGCTGCAATAAAAAAAAATATATGTGCTTATGGATTTATTTATTATTATTTTTTTTTTTTCAATTTGAAGGTTGATGAAGTGGTAAAAGAAGTAAACTTATGGGCTGAAAAAGAATCAAAAGGTTTGATAAAAGAACTCATCACAAACGAGTCCCTTTCTAGTAGCACAGTTATGCTATTGGTAAATGCTTTGTACTTCAAAGGAACTTGGGTTAAGAAATTCAAGCCAGAATACACAAAAGATGAAGTCTTTTACTTGCTCAATGGAGAAAAAATTCAAGTACCCTTCATGAACAAAACTTACACGCACTACGACTACGGAACCTTTGAGGGATGTCAAGTTCTAAGGATGTTGTATGAAGAAGAGGAGGAATTCCTGAAGGGCGAAACAAAAAGGAGCTTTTCTATGTACATCTTCCTCCCGGACACCAAGGACGGGTTGTCGAATTTGTTGGACACGATACAAATGAATTCAAGTATGTTCAAGGACAAGATAAAGCTTAAGTATGAACAAATTGACAACCTTTCGATTCCAAAATTTGATTTTGAATGCGAGCATTCACTTCGCCAGCCTATGACAAAGTTGGGATTGACACTGCCGTTTGATGTGGATTGTAAGGATCTTGGTAAAATTATAGAGTCCTCTGCTTCGGGTGATGAGCAACAACTCTATATCTCGGACGTGATTCAGAAGTGTCGGGTTGAAACCGACGAAGTAGGAACGAAAGCCGTGGCTTTCACTAAGGCCGTACTTTTGTGTGGAGGTTTAGGATTTAGAACGCCTCCACCCCCTATTAACTTTGTGGCTGATCATCCTTTTCTGTTCATGATTATGGATGATTATTCGGGTGCGATACTTTTCATTGGCACTGTACTTAATCCTTTACAAGGTTAGGCAACATAGCAAAATCATCACTTATGGTCTTATGGATGCAATTATGCTGCTTAGTACTTACTGCCATGGAAGGGATTAAGTCTTGTTTAAAATTTTACTAGTTATTTTCATTTTTTATTTTAAAAACTGTATTTTTTTACTATTTTGAAAGGATTGATTTTGATGCTTTGTCGTAATCATAAGTTTAATGCTTTGAACTTTGGAGAATTTAATTTTTGATTAAATTTAATGTTTCTATATTGCAATATTGCCTATTGAGCCAAACTAATTGATACGTATCTGTTAAGTCGTTTACTTGGGTTTGTAAATTGGTGTATGATTGGGTTGCGATGTGCTTGGCATTGATGCAACCCAATTCGTCACTCTAGAATTCATTATCATGATCGATAAATAATTAAATAGCTACATTTAGCTGAAGGTATTCCAAAATATAATAATCAAAGCTTTAATCCCGAAAAGGCTAAAAATTGAATACCAAAACTAACTTAACTTGTTTATAACCATCATGAAACCAACAAATGAGATACATGTTCCTTTCCTTGGACAAAAATGAAAGGAACAATGAACCTTGCTTCTTAATAAAAATAAAATAAAACAAGTTACTCTTAACTTCAAATCAATCCATTTTCTTTGTTAAAATGAAGAACAACAAATTTAAGTCTCTAATTTGTACCATTATCATCTTTTCGAAGCTGAATAGGAGGGTTATGACGATCACAAGGGAGCTTAATATTACCCATAGACCCTGCTGGTACAAGCTTTAGATTCTCACAATTACACATCTCTATCATAAATCCGTCTGGATCATTGAAGAATAGCTGATCGATCGACGTCTTGTTCTCTTCGTCATCCACCGTTCTCTTCATGTACTTGACATTGTATTCCTTCAGTCTTTGCTCTATTGCCTCCATATCCTCACACTACATACTCCACATTATAAAATTAAATGACTCAATATATAATATAAAAAACTGAGATAAAATTGAATTGAATAACTCATAGCGGCGGATTTTGGACCAAAAAATACCAATATCGTGAACCCAACATTATTTTATATTCATAATTAAATTAAGACAATATATTACTTCTTGTCAAAAAAAAAAAACAATATATTACTAATTGTCCCTATTTTTTTACCCCAAATTGACTTATCACAGTTCTGAACGCGCGTATAACTTCATTTTTACATACATAAAAATTTGATGCTGATAATATATACAATGAGGCGAATCCAACAATACCCCACTTGACTATATTATCTTTTATAAATTAATGAGAAATTACGGTTAAAGATTCTAAAATTTGACAATTTTTTAGAATGGAGCAAAAAAATAGGGATAGAGGGATATGATAGCCCCTAGGCCAGGTACTATGAGTCTCAATAAAGATCCTTCCCTGACTTGAATAAAAAAAGATGTCAAAAAGATAACGTACGATACCTGAAAGGAGATGTGGTTGTCCATGGGATCTAAGGCCGTCTTATCCGAAGGCAAACGATCTTCATCCTTGGACTGAACCAAATGAATACCAACACCATAATTAAAAAGCCAAGCCCCGTCAAAATTAAAAGCTTGAGGCCTCTCAATTTTTACAAACCCCAAAACTTTGGTGTAAAACTCCAATGAATCTTCCACTGATCTACATAGTCTTGACACATGGTTTAGTGCCATCGATGGAAGATCATGGTCGTGGTCGTGGTCATGTTCGTGGTTGTGCTTCTTCTCATCTTCTTCTTGCTTCCTAACACTTTCATTATCTTGCTCTCTTCTTTGTTGATTGCTTCCCATGCTTTTCTTAGCTTTCAATTAATTTTCTCAAAGTTTATTTTAAGTAAGGTAATTAAAAGTGGTTTAGTTACTAGTATAGTAGTATATAGGGTATTAAAGGATGAATGATTTACTTATTCCTTTTGATTTGAAGAAGGTGAGAAGTGACACGTGGAGGTAGGAAGTGCATCAAGGATGATGAGGTGGTAGATTTTCAGGAGGACAGTTATAAGTTTGGCATGATGTGTCTTTAATGGCGGTGCATTTGCAATCGTGCAAAAGTTGGATTACTTCATATTGAAGGAGCCCTACTATTGTAAGTTTCTAGTGTTGGACGTATTTTTGCTCGAATAGTGATTTTTTTTTTATAACTTCTCATCTATTTTTTAATTTTTCAAACTTCCTCCGTGTTTCTAAAAAGTATCACTTTAATCCGTTCAAAATTTAAGTGATTGAGTTAAATACTACCTCCGTTAATAGTTATCTGCAACTTTGAAATATTTTATATCTCACAAATAATACCTCAAAGTTGCAGATAACCATTAACGGAGGTAGTTTGTATAGATAATATGTATGTATATGCGTTTGTTGGGAAATCATTGAATTTTGGTAGTATGATAAATCATTGATTTGAAAAGAATTGAATGAACGAAAATCTAAAGCCATAAGTTTTCTTTAGCGTGTTATTATCTGAAAAATTATTATATATGACTCAAAATGAGAATATTAACAGGTTTCTGAACCATGTTTGGGAACTTATTTTCTAATGATTTAGCCATTATAGGTTCGTTTATCATCTCCAATTGCTTTTCACTCAAATCTACCATATTCAATTTGCAATTAAGTTTTTAAGAGAATTGGAGGAATGATTTCAAGAAATTGTTTTACCAAAAGTAAATAAATAATGACAATGATTATTAAACCAAGAGAATTATGTTTTTAGACCACAAAAAACACGAAACAAATAAAGCACCAAAACTATACAGAAAAATAAAGTAATAAACCATGCATGCTTCTTAAACGATACCATGCAAATTACTGGGAAACAAAACTAAAAAAACTTAAACTATAATGTTGTTAATTAAATCTTCACTATAAGTCAAACATTAACATTGAAAATCAAACAATCATATAACTAATATATAAAGGTAAACTTTTAGCCAGGCGACGAGGCAGCGACACTTGGCGTTCCAACTTTTCGCCAAGTGTCGTGCCACGTAGGATAGATTTATATAGAATTCTATTTGTAGGATAAAAAAAATAGTTTATAATTTTATTTCAATCAAATTTGAATAGAATTTTAGGATAAAATTGTTAATTTAGAGTTTTATTTTTGATAAAGTACTAATATTTCATATGTGCAAATTGTATTATAATTTATTCAAAAAATAATTAGATTATAACTTTCATAAATTATCATATAAATTTAATTTTTATATCATAATATTTTTCTGGAGCGAAGGAATTAGTTCTAATCAATTAAAATAATATACTTCACAATATATCTAAAAATTCAATAAACAGCCCGGACATCGCACGGGCACAAAACTAGCAAAGATATAAAGCTTGATCACACCCTGCAAAACACTAGGGAAACCTCTATGAGCAATACTCTTGTCTCATAGCAATATATTACATAATTACACACTGGATGACACAAGCTACTGGAAAAAAAAATACAATAAAAACAGTACAAAAACTATTTTGCAACAGAGAAAAAAGCCTAGATAAATGAAGTAATAAGGCTTGGTTAGACTTTTCATCAATTTATCCTGAGCCTTTTTGATCTCCTTCCAAAAATCTCCATAAACCAATCATGAAGTCGATCAACCACGTAGATCTTCCCAATGACATAGCCGACTTTACACACCCCAATGATCTGATGATCCAATCAATCAACTCGTTATCCTCTTCATCATTTGTTGTTTTTTGTGGCGGTGATGATGGAGTTGAGTCTTTCTTGCATTTCTCAGACAATGGAGCTCCGCATAATGCCAAGTTCCCAGCAAAAGAACTATTGTCAAAAGTATTGAACTGTTCTCCTTCAGGTATTGGTCCAACTAGACGATTGTGTGAAACATTGAAGACCTCGAGAAAGTTTAACACTGTCAACTCCATAGGGATAATTCCTGAAAGCATGTTTTGCGAAAGGTCTAAGGACTCGAGGTCTGTAATGTTGGCCAGAGAAGATGGGATACCACCATCAAGATTGTTATTGGATAGATTAAGTGTTTGAAGTTCTCTAAGATTTCCAATTATCTTAGGGATTTTACCAGTGAACTTATTGCTTGAGAAATCAATCACTCGCAATACAGTCAATATCTCTGTGTAAAATCATGAAAATCATGAACTGTTGGACTATGCAATGGAGTTGTTATCTTCCCATGGAAATGGTTATGCCTCAGGACAAGAACTTGCAACTTAGGAAGACTTCTTAACCATGATGGAAAAGTGTCATTAATACGATTTCTTCCTATGTCAAGTACCTCAAGCAGCGAGCAATTGACTAAGGACTTCGGTAGCTTGCCCTCAAACCCTTAAATTGCAAGACTTTGAGAACATTTGAGGAATGACACCACTAAATTTATTTCCTTGTATGTTTAATACTTGCAATGAATCACTAAGTGGATGACTAATGCAACTTGGAATCTTGCCGGTAAAATTGTTTTTAGATAAGTCAAGGTAAACTAAAGATTTTGCATGACATATATGACTTGGAAGAACTCCTTGAAATTGATTGTTTGAGGCTTGATAAACTTGTGTGGAGCTTGGAGGAGTTGGAAATGGCCCTCTTAACTTGTTGTCATTGAGATCTAGTATTTCTAAATTGTACCATGGGATGAAAACTAACGGTTCTTCAAAACCCGTTAATAGATTATTAGAAAGGTTTAAGATCAAGAGATTCTCTCTAGTTGTGTTTACAAACCATTGTGGAATACCACCTTTGATTTTGTTCCCCGAGAGAAATAATGATTTTAGCTCACCTTGATAACGTAGGAACTCTGGGAATTCAGTTAAGTTGCATGATTCAAGACCTAGAATCTGAATCTTCAAAAGAGAGGAATTATTGGTACTTAGATCTCGAGGAAAGGTTAAGCTAACGCCGGTCAACAACAAAGTACGAAGATTTGGGAGTTCCAAAAATGAATCAAACTTGGCAACTGAGTCCCTAAATGACAATAATAATACAATAAGATTCACAAGTTTAGAAATCCAGGGTGGGATTGGACCTTGAAAGTGATTACCATATAGCTCTAACATGCGCAAGTGGGTTAGATTTACTAACCAACTTGGTAGTGTGCCTGTTAACAAGTTGTTGCTAAGATCCAAAAGAGTGAGCCTAGTAGAGTTACACAGAGAAGGTAAAATGTCATTGCCTAATTTCATTTGGCTAAGGCGTAGATGAGTGAGTGAGTTTAGCTTAGGCAACCAAGATTTCAATATTCTAGCATTCCCAACATTTGGCATGTCTGAAAGACCTAAGAAAGTAAGGCTCGTTAAGTTGATGATAGAATCAGGAAGGTCATTGCTAAAAAAATTGCGGGCTAGGTTTAGAACAGTGAGATTTGTCAAATTACCTATTGAAGAAGGAACTTTTCCATAGAATTCACTTTCTTGCAAGTCCAATTTAGTCAAAGAAACAAGATTTCCAAGCGATGCTGGCAACTCCCCTGAAAATCTTGTTGCATCAACGTATAAAACACGAAGAGAACTGTTAGAATAAAATTCAGGAAAATATCCTCCTAATTTAGGATTGAATTTTAATGAAACTACTTCAAGATTTGGTAACTGGAAAATATTTACTGGGAATTCACCCAACAAATTACAGTAGTTCATTGAAATAGCCTTGAAAGAAGTTCGGTTGCTTAAGATGAGAGGTACCTCAGATGATATATCAACCCTATCTAGATAAAGATGGGTTAAACTACTCAAATTATAAACCAACTTCTTTAGACTCAAATCATTAAGTTTCAAATCTAACTCCTCATCGACAACCATTGGATTGTCATTAAAGGAAAGATCAAGAAGAGAAAGATGGGACAATGTCGAAATTGCTAATGGTATTTGGCCACTGAAAACTGACTTGGAGAGATTAAGATGTGTGAGCCTGTATAGACGGCCAATGTCAGAGGGGATTTGAGAATAATTGAAGTTATTATAAGAAAGATCAAGCTCACGGAGATGAATAAGGCTGAAAAGGGTGGTGTTGTGAGGGAAGGTGCCGTAAAGGCAACTACTACTAAGGTCGAGGCCAATGACATGACCCGTCTTCTCATTGCACTTGACACCATCCCACCTACAACAATCACCACTTATAGTTGCATTTTCCAAATGATATGATTCATCATGCCATGATTTCACCTTTGGATATGCAAAAGCAACATGAGATGATTCAGGGCAATCAAGACTTAAGCTTTTCTTAAAATGAAGCAATGCAACCTTCTCATGATCATGGCACAATGGTTTCGATTGCTGCAAGGAAGGGAGATTAGAATTAGCAACTACTAGAAAATTGATAAAAGGTAGTGGAAAATATACGATTACTAGAAGCATGTATTTAAAGCATCCCAAACTCATTTTGATAAAATTGTATATCTGATTTTGTGAGTGAGAAATTTTTTTATTGGCACATAACAACAGAGATGAGAGTAGCTTTTATAGCCATAGACGGTCACTTGGTTGAATGTACATATGATGATCGTGATACTTGAAGCTAAGGATCAAAAGTCTACTAACAGGAAACACAGGGCTTAGCATTTGTCAAAAAACAATGTTGATTACTAAACCATTTAGAGAAGAAAAGATTAAAACAGAGACTTGACTTTTAGAGATGACAATAGTACAAGTTGATGTTTATTTACAAAGGAACTAGAATCGTAAATCCTCTAATCTTTTTTTGATTTCCACTAATATATATATTCAACGAAAGCAACAGCATTGTCTAGGCTGTATCATTAGCTACTTTTGTTAAACATGCTTGTACATACTTCCCTTTGAATTAAAAATAAAAACCTCAATCTTTGTGAAACAGTTTTTTCTATCCATATTTAAGGCAATAAAATTCCTTGTATATATCTAATCGCTTACAAAAGTTCGTTATGTCATCCCCGCTATTC